AGGTGGGTACATGGATATTAATGTTTGCAAATTTCAAAATATTTAGTGAATTTTTTTTTTGAGAAAGAAAGAGAGGAAACAAAAACAAACAAGCATATAGATATAAAGTTTACAACTCCAGTTTTGTGATGTAATGTTAGCCACACAAAATGAATTTCATTTACAGATAAATCAGTAAATTTAAACCTTAGGTTTCTCTCGAGTCATAAACTGCAAGATATTCCTCCAAGACAAGAAACAGTATGAAAAAGATAAACAGTCTCTCTGAGATCTCATTCTGTATCATTCAGAATTCAGCTAGTTAAGAGCAGGGTGCTAAGAAATCAAAGGTCATAGGTTTCAATCCCACATGAACCAATTAGTTTTGCCCTTTTCCATGATACAGACTGTCAGTCAGCTCACCAATAATTCTGATTATAAGTAAGATCAGGGAAAGGAGAAGATAAATCATCACCAATGTGGGGAAAATCAAACTTCAAACTTATTAACAAGCTAACAGAAGTACTTTCTTCTATATATTAAGAGCTTACATTTATAACTCAAAATGCCCACCATGCGTTGTTCTTATACAATCTTCACAAAATTTCTGAGGTAGATACTGTTATAATACCCACTTCACAAATGATAAAACTGAGACTTAGAGAAATTTATTGTCTGGGGTAATATAGATAAGAGAGCCAGACTAGAGAATTTATGTTCTTATCTAGCTCTCTGTAAATATAACTCACAATCTATTATAATATTTAATAAACATCAATTATATATCTAAATAATACATGAATGAATTAAATGATTGGTGAGTGGCAGGACAGATGGATGCAAAGGTGGTTCTAGTTGGACTGAACACTAAAAAAGCTAATAGTAGCCTCATGGTAAAGGACAGGTTGCTAACTGAAAGAAATCTTACCTATTTCTTTCCACTTCCATTACTATTTCCCTAAATCAGGATGTCTACTTCTCTATCAATGTCAGAGTAATACAGCAAGAATATACAGAGCATTTTTGAAAAGGAATAAAATGCTTCACATTATCCTCATTTCAAGAACCACTATACAGCAACATATATGAGTGAGTATTTTTCTGGACTCAATTCTATTTTACTATCTGGCCATCCTGATAGTAATACTATTCTATTTTGACATTTCTATTTTGGTAAATACGTCTCAAAATCAAGTAGTATAAGTCTTCTAACTTTTTTCTTCATGAAACTTGATTTTGCTTTTTTAGGTTCTTTACATTTCTCTCTAAGTTTCAGAATTGTCTTCTATGTCTTTAAATAAATTAAAGCCTCCTGGAGGGCCTCCCTGGTGGCACAAGGGGTTAAGCACAGCTCTGTGAAGCTGTCCGCAGCCTCTGCAGCATGAATTCGATCCCGGCCTGCCAGGGAGCTACCCACATGGCACAGCAGACCTCTCCTGACTCACCAGCTCCTCCCCTCAGCAGTGTACTTAAGTCTATCTGCCTGTTCTGTTCCCCAATCTGTCTCCAGTGAATCCTCTTACCTCCCGCACCTCTGGTCTATACCCCAGTTCTTGTATGCATAAATAAATAATACTAAAAATTTAAGGAAACATAGTTTAAACAAACAATAATTAATAAACACAATATTCAAGAGACTGACTATCATTACAGAAAAAGATGGAATCATATCATAGAGGCAACTAGCTTTGTAAATTGATGATCTTGCAACACCAGTAAATTTACGTACTAATTCTAGGATTATTACCATAGATTAAATAGGGCTTTTATACAGATACCCATATGGTCTGTAAGTAAAATATTTACTTGTTTATTTCTAATGGTATAATTTGTTTCTTCCTTTATTGAATGAGCAGAAACTCCAGTACAATGCTAAATACATCTGACTTGCTACTTATCTTAGAAAGTTAATTATTAAGCAAGAGATAATGTCATATACAACTCCTATGATGAAATGAAAAAGAACTAACCCCTGAAGCTGATTATAGAACTGAAGAATCCAATGGGGTTAAAGAGGAAGGGAGAGATCAGAGTGGAGAGCAAGCATGCAGACTGAGGTGTGGACTATGTGCGCTTTGGTGGAAGGTGCGTTATGGTAGCAACACATGAAGCGGGGGCCCTCTAATCCCAAAATACAAACAGTGATGTAAACCAACATTACCTCAATAAAAATTTTTTAAAAAGAATGTGTGGGGGTGGGGAGAGGATACTGCAATTCATTTTGGGATACCAGCATAATTTTATATCAAAATATAACAAGAAACATTCAAAAAAGAAAAAGTACAACCCAATTATCCCATTTAGATAGACAGATAGACAGATGCAAAGATCCAAAGCAAATTATAAACAAATAAATTCAGCAATATATGAAAATAATAAAACTGCAATGAAATTAGGTTTATTTCAGGGGACAAAAGGGGGATTATGCATTAGGTTGAGCTGTAAAACTGGTTACTGTCTGGGGAAAAATAAATAAATTAAAATGTATCCTTACATTTTACTAAGCACAAAACATAATTCTAAATAAATTGTGAGTAAATAACCAAAGCCCTGGAACTTTTATGAGGAACACAGAGGTGCAAATCTTTCTTTATGGGTGGGTATGGAATGACTTCTTGCGTGAGATACTAAAGCACTAACTGTAAAAAATATTTTTTCCAAATTCAACATTTCTTTTAATCAAATGACACCCTAAGGAAAATGAAAAGACAAAAGGCACACACTGATATATTTGCCAACATTTAACTTACTGTCAAGACCACATAAAGAATGGCTACAAATAAATAAGAAGAAACACATAATAGAAGAATGGATAAAGAATATTAAATGATAAACTCATGCCATTCACAGCGACATGGATGGAGCTGGAAGGGATTATGCTCAGTGAAATAAGCCAGAAGGAAGAAGAAAAATATCAGATGGCTTCACCTATAGGGTGAATATAGGGGAACCAAATAAGAGATTAGGAAAAAAAATAATATAATAAATAAAAAAAATTGTTGACAACTATAAATCAGAGACATTCTGCAGGGGAGGAGGAGGAGGGTTCAAAACAAGAGAGAGAAGAGTACAAGGGACTTTGGTGATGGTGCACAGGTGGTAATTTTATGGGAACTACACCTGAGAGGAGAAATCATACATTTCACAAAAATAAAAAATTATGTAAATATATATAAATAAATTAAAATAAAAATAAGGAATATTAAAAGACATTTTGCAGCGGAAAGCACATACTTGTCTAGTGACCATCTGAAGAAATGCTTTACCAGTGATATGAATATGAAATGAAAACTAAATTATTTTAGACTATTTCAGTTGTCAACAACTTAAGAATGACACCAAGTATTGAGGAGAATGGGAAACAATGAGATCTTTTATGCACTACTTATGGCAGTAAATATGAAGAAAACTAGTTTGAAAAATTAGCTATCAGAACTTTGTGAAAGCAGTAATTTCACATCCTAAACCCATGATTTCCATTTCTAGATATATAATTCACAAAAATGCATGTACACGTACAAAAAATAATGCACAAAATGTTTATCAGGGTATTATTCATAATAGCAAAAAATTAGAGTATCCAAAATAGCCATCTATAAATGAATGTACAAGAAGTTATGAGACAATAGGCTACTTTCAACCAGTAAAAAACAAATAGTTATACCAAACAATAAAGATGAATCTTAAAACCACTGTGATGAGTAAAAATTGCCAACCCTCAGCCAAAAATGCATTATGATATATTTTTATAAATGATAAAACTAAATATTATTTTCTTATAAATTTGTGATAAAAACTAAAAGAAATCAAAATGATAAATATTTTAATAGTAAACTCTGGTGAAAAAAATCAGGGTACAAAGTAAGGGAGGAACACAGAAATAGATGAAATTTACTAGCAATGTTCTATTCTTCGGTTAGTGTAACCACAGGTGTTTATTACAATAATAAAGTTAAAATAAATAAAATAGCCCTATGCATGTAAATTACACTGTGTCATTATATACATTTTAAGATTAATCCAATTTTGTGCAACTAATGTCCAAAAGGCACAATATAAAACAATACAAATCTAAACATTTTTGTCTTAAAGTATCAGTTGTTAGTAAGACAAAATATGCTGGACTCAAAATTACTGTTAAAGAATCATTAATATACATGTACATACCCAACTATCTGCCTGCACTAATTCTGTTTCTATAATGAACTAAGAAATTCTAAAATTTAAAATGCTTTGGGCCTTAAAAAAACAATTAAATGTACAGGAATAAGCTACTTTTTACAATATATTTATAGCTAAAGTTACCTTAAAGATTACTTAAAAGTGCCACTAAATATTTTCTATATGCCTAGGGTTGCACTTGACATGCATTATCTCATTAATTCTCACAAAATTCTATGACATAAATACCATTAATGTGAACATATTTTTTATGCAGAAACTGACCAGCAGGGTTAAAATGTGTTCAAGTTCATGATGCTCACACATAGAGATGTAGTCTGATCCCACATTTATTTTGATCCTAAACCTGCACATATATCTATACATTCATACTACCTCAGTATCATAGAAAATGGATAGAAAGGTTAACTCAACTATCCAAAATCACAGATCAAGTTAGCCGCAGATTTGGAACTAAAAGATACCAAGTAGCATGCACCAGGCATTATGGCAAGTACATTATGAGACTTCTTATTCAATGCTCTATTCATTCTAGCTATTTCCATTCCTTTACCTCATTCAAATGGAATGTTTGACGTTGAAATGGTATGATCTATCAATTTGTTCTTAAGTATAACAGCCAGAAGATTGAGCAAATAGCTATTTAAGATATATCCTGTACTTCTACCCATTTCTATTGAATCCATATTGTATATATTTGTCTACCAAGAGTATAAAAATAGTAAAAGGCAAAACTATCTTGTACTACTATATTCTAACACATGCACATTTAAATTTTTGTTTTAGCAGATGATTTGTACACTACTGCCCCAAGCAACATTCATAGAAATGTCTCTCACCTGTTCTGAACGATCTGAATCACTTTCTTGCGGTAAAGGCCGGGGTGTTCTTTGTGACTCCTGAATCTTTTCTTTCAATTTAGAATTTTCTTGCTGTTGCTGAAATAGCTGGTCCTGAAGACTAACAACACTTTGCCGGAGCATAGCTTCATTTGATTTTGTGGTTTCAAAACAAATATGTAACTCATTGTAAAGCTGTTTCAAAAAATATATCCAAATTTATTAGTAACGAATAATGTAGTGATACCTGTATATGTATATACATATATAAACGTGTATAAATATATATATACATGTGTATAAATATATACATACATGTACACATATATAGTACGGCATAGGCCTTACCCTCAAATTATTTTAATAGTCCAAAGGGAAGAAACAAGATATAAATTTATGAAAAATTAAATAATACAATTATCAGTACAATACTACAATTGATGTTAAAAAGACAATAAATATTGGTGAGTGTCGTAAATAAAAGTATGCTATATTTCTAAAGAAAATGAAAACACTCTTAACTAGATATATTTAATTTTGAAGGGTTTCATGAAAAATTATAGGAATTAAATGAAAACAAATCCATTCTAAAGATTGCATAAATGTGAAAAAATTACATATGATGATAGGAAAGGACAGAATGGGAGCATATGATATATCAACCTAATTGCAATTAATATATACACCTGACAGTTAAAAATAAAAATCAAGAGTCTTTTATTTATACTTAATTAAATTTGAATGAGATATTCTCATTTAACATGAATTATAATCTACTTCTAAAGTAGGGGCAGAAGGAAAGTAAAAGTCAAGCAGTAAGATTATAGAGAGAATGTAGAGTACTGAATATAGGAAGATGGATTTGTTCCTGCAACCAGCAGGATATCACTGAAGACCTTGAACAAAGGGTGATAAAATAAAAACTCTGAATACATAATAGATAATTTAAAATTTAACTCAAAGCAACATGCACTAAATTTAATAAAACGAGTTATTAAAACTGTGAGAGCATATGGTATGTAAGAGGCAACATATAGTCATACATGTTTAAAAATGGCATTCCTCCAATACTCATGAACTTACTTTGTGATGAAAATTCTAACATATGATGATTAAATGAGGCACAATTCAATTTGTGATAACATATTTACACAAATAACCCATATTTTTATTTGTTGATGATACTGGGGAAGTGACCCCAAAATTAAGATCTACTTACTCATTGTTATGTTGTATAAATATAGCTAATGCTGAAATCTTTTTTTTTTTTTTTTTTTTTTACATTTTATTTTATTTCATTTTATTTATAGAGGCATGTTTTTATTTATTTATTTATTTGTTTGTTTGTTTTTGTTTATACATGCACTGGGTACAGTCAGAAGCACGGGAGGGTGAGAGAATTCACCAGAGCCAGAGCAGGGAGCAGAGCAGGCAGAAGGACCGAAGTACAATGCTGAGGGGAGCAGCGGGCGGCAGGAGAGGTCTGCGCGCCATGTGGGACCCTCCTCCGGTGGCCGGGGAGCAGCTGGGGATCGAACCGGTGCCGCAGAGGTCGCGGACAGCTTCACAACCCAGCGCTCAACCGCTGCGCCACCGGGGAGGCCCCTAATGCTGAAATCTTATAACAAAAGCAACATCCCAAAAGGAATAATCTCAAAATTATGTAGCAATACACTAGGATTTTAGGTCTGTTCATCCAATTGAAGACAGAAAAGATCTTCCACTAACTGGCCTTATCTCGTGGGAAGATAATTATGCAAAAGATGACAGAGCATTTTATGCATGCTACACTTTAATTTTTGTAAATTTAAAATAATAAAAGCTTGTAAAACTTGTCCTTAATGTTTTTTTCTCAACATACAGCTTGCCATAAAAGCAAGACCTTTCAGATCACTTCTCTGACATGTATTATCTCAATATATTTTTTGTTTTCCATAATACCTCTATATTATTATAGATACTTAAAAAACATTTCACTTAACAGCCAAGAACAAGTAATTTTTTATAAAGGAAGGGTTGACTACATGATTTATAAAGTACTTATGAAGGATTTCAGGACATAGATTTGAATTCCCTTCCAATTACCTTTATGGCAGGGTGTATGTCCAATGTCCTTTCCATAGCTGATATCATCAGATATTCTAGGAAGGAAGAAAGAGTAGGAACCTGACAGCTTTGAGAAACAATGACAAAGTCAGAGGGGGTCTTATAGTGATCTACCTGTGCTGTGTTACTGCTTTCCTGACTGAAAGTAGAAATGAAAGAACAAAATCTGAAAACAGAACCTAACATGACTAGAAAGATCTGAAGCTAGGATGTATGAAGTTCTGCCTAATAGCAATCTATTCAATTGAAAGTTTATTTAAGTACTTTCTCTTTATTTGTAAACTTCATTAATACCAGTTTTTACCCACTCAACACAAATTAATCTCTTTGAAGAAAAATAATAGAAAATAACAATATAATAGAATTTATCATTTCAAATATTGGAGAATCTCATAAAGGTTTTGACAAGGAAAACCTCAGTTTCCCTTCCATTGTGCAATATACAGGTATGATGAAAACATGAGGTCAGGACTCCAAATTATTGGCCATTAGTGACAAGGGTGTGGTACATTTTTCTCTTTGGTATCATGTCTTGGGATCATCTTTCACAATAAGCCCATTCATTCAAAGAAGATGTTTCTATCTCAATATCTCTTTTCTGGCATCTTCTCTCCCACTTCTTCCTTGCTTCCCTGAAAATGAAGACTAACAGCTGTCTTCTTATGTTCTATACTCTGCTCTCTGCCATGAAGTGTATGCAGCTGTAACTTCTCAACAGAACCTGCCCTGAACATACCTGATGTGACGTGCTGTGTAACTCTAGACATGGATACAAACACTATCTTTCTCTAAAATATGAATGCTTCTAAGAAGCAGATGAAAAAAGAACTTAGAAAGCAAGAAACATGATCTAGACCAGGCCTGATCATGGGATTTACACAAATTCTCTTATTCTTTAATTCTTATTCCAACCATACACGTCCTACTTGCCTGTTTGATGGCCAACTGGACTACACTTATTAAATACCAATAAGACAACTCAGTTGTGAGCTTAGAGTAAAAGAACCAAAGACAACCCTGCATCCATTTTTAGTTCTTGTCTCAGTCTACCAAATGGCTTAAAAAGCCTTCAACGAGGTTAAATCTAATTTCATTTCTGAAGGGTTTGGTTAGTCTCAGAAAGATTTAGGGTGTTCCAGTCACCTGGCTAGACACCATCTCATTCTCATCATTAATAACAGTAGATTTGAGTTAAAAAAATTAGGTAATATTAAATATTAGGTAATATTAAAATTAGGTCAATTAGGTAATATTATTTCAAATATTGGAGAATCTCATGAAGATTGATAAGGTTTTGACAAGGAAAACCTCAAAGTTTCCCTCCCATTGTCCAATATGTAGGTATGATGTAAATGTGAGGTCATGAAAAGTAATATTATAAAGTGAGTAAATTAGTTAATATTAAAAATTCATTCATCTACATTGGCCTAGGCACTTTTTTTCCCTATCAGAATTGCAATCACAATTTCTTCCAGCAGTTTTCAAAGAGGCTCTTTTCTGTACAATTTCTTTCTTCTAATACAAGTCTAAGCCTTTTCCAAAAAGATGTTCTGGCATCGAGATCATAATCTTTTGTAAGATTTCTAGCTATAAAAATAATTAATCATACAACTCTCCTTTACACTTTAGAAGTCACAATCATTATAATATATAAGCTCTTTTTTATGCTTACCATTCTTCATGCTATTTTTTGTTGAAGAAATTAAAGTAAACTAAGAGGAACTGCAGGGGACACAAAGCAAGTGATCTCCAGAAACAGGATCCTAAACCCCAATCCTTTTAATATTCAGAAGCTTAGATTAATGTATTCTTTTTCTCCTATTTTGATTAGTGTTGAGGAACAACATATTATACTTACCTTAACAATTCTGGAAATGTCTATGCTTTGTGATACCATGATGAATACTTCAATAATAAAATTTTCCATATTTAGTAAAAAAGTATACTATTTGTGGCTCTGATTGAGTCACTAAATTCTACAAGTGAAAATTCCATCTGTTTATTGCAGAAAAATAAGGTAAAACTCTGATTTAACATGAAGCTGAGACTAAAAGTATGCATAAGCTAACTCCTTATTTCTCTGGATTGATTTTAGCTCATGTCATGTAATTATCATTAAATAGAACAAAAGGTAATAATAGACATACATTTTCCTCCCTCCTCATTTTATTCATCCTACCACTGTGGAATTGTTTTTAACCTTTCCAAATAATGAAATGGGTATTATGATATAAAGAAACTGCAAAAAGTGAGAAAAGTAGGGGGCAAGTGAAAAAAAAGTGGAGAGGAGCAATGAAAGAAAAACAGAAACTCCACTGAAAACAGTAAATTAAGAAGACCTACCCCTTAAAGAAGTTTAGTAAGAATTGGAGAGAAATTATTAACATACTTAATCAACTCACCTGAGTCTTACAACTAAGCTCTAGTTTTTATTTTGAATCAATAACAGTAATCTATATGAAAGCATACTTGGAAATTTTAATTTTAAAGTAAATATACAAATCACTGCTTCATGGACTATCAAATTATTCAAATTTATTGGAAAAATCTAGAAAAATACATATGGAAAAGGAATAAAGACAAATATTAAGTAAAATATTCTAGTATTAGAATAACTTGATGTAAATGGACTTTGGAATCATGAACAGTAACACACTGTGTATACATGTACAATAAAACAGTGTGATCATACCTAAATTTAAAAATCCTGAACTCTGCAACTAATCCATTTTCTGGGGGTAAAAAGGTCTAATATAAAATCTGCAACAGGTGAGAAAGTTAAAATTGTAAAGCTATGACAAAATAAACCAAATCTGTACAACCAGTAGAATCAATGCCTGTGGGTTCTCCACAAACTATGGAGACATGCTAGGCTGCACTTATATCAAAAGGAATGCATTTAACTTAGATATTGTGACAATTTCTAACATCAAAAGTTATTGAGCAGTTAAAGAATTGTGTGATGAGAATGAATAATTTAAGTTTACACACTTTAAGGAATCCATTTATTTCATATATATCTGAACTACATAATGGGCTTCATAATAGGAGATTAAGCATGTGATTCTGGGTTCAAGATTTGAATTCCACCACTTGGTATCCGTTTGACTTTAAATAACACTCTTAAGTGTCAATAACGATTTATAAAATAGAGATAATCTATCATCGAGGTTGGTGTGAGAGTTAATGAGGCAGAGGCCTTTTTCCCAAAGAAAAACACTCCTTATACAGTAAGCTTAGTAAGCAGAAAATTTTCACATTCTTATCTTCAGGTATTATTGTGCTTCAACTAGAAGGCTGTTCCACTTGTATGGAATTCAGTCTTAATTCACTCCAGAAACATTTACTCACTCACATAGTTAAAATTTAAATGGATTAGTATATTTAAATTAAGATAGAAATATTTTTCTGCAAAGTTTAAAAACACATAATTAAAATAAAGACCTATGATTTTTAAGTTGTACTATCCAAAGTGGAATATCATTGTACTTAACTCCTTAAGGTTCAATAATTTAAAATTTATTCATGTGGTAGGCCACATTCTACAGTAGGCAGGTCTCTTTCAGAATTAACCTTATTAAGGTTAATTAATTAACATTATTCAATAATTTAAAACAAGACTTTCTTTACATAGGAACTAATTAAGTGTAAACTGCACACTACTGATATGATATTACCAGCTTTCATAAAGGAACTATCTCCTAAGTGTGTATATGTGTACTGTGTGCAAAATCAATGTTCTCTAATGAATACTAGTAATCTAAATTCACAACAAAATATGTTTATTTTAGTTTTACTTAAAATAGTAAACATTTTAAGCAGCATTTGGATTAGTCCTAGAAAATGGTTAAATTATGATTTCAAAAACATGTCATGATATTGTTTCAAAATGAAGTGAAGCCCAAGATGCTAGCGTATTTACAAGTATGCTAAAAGCATTTAAAAAAACTGAGAGGAGAAGAAATATTCAAAATGTTAACCATATTTGCCTCTGGAACACAGAATCGTAAAAGGTGTTTTTCTGTGATTTTATGAATAAATACTGACACAAAGATTACCAAAGAAAAATTAATTGTAATTTCTACTAACTACAGGTAAACTTCATAAAGTATAAATAAATAATCAAGGACTTTTGAGTTGAACCTAGTTGAATATACTAATTAAAACCATATGAACAGGGGCCTCCCCTGGTGGCGCAGCAGTTGAGTGCTAGGCTGAGAAGCTGCGCACAGCCTCAGCAGCACCGGTTTGATCCCCGGCTGCTGGGTAAGGGTGCCACATGGCGCGCAGACCTCTTCTGCCACCCACTGCTCCCCTCAGCAGTGTACTTCGTCACTCTGCCTGTTCTGCTCTCCACTCTGGCTCTGGTGAATTCTCTCACCCTCCCGCACTTCTGACTGTACCCAATGCTTGTATGAATAAATAAATAAATCTTTAAAAAAAAAACATATGAACAACTATAAGGCTCTAAAATAACATCAAAATTAAAATACTACAATGAAAATGACAATTTCAAAATGAGTATTAAGCTCAAAATCAAGTGATATTACTTCCCCAACCCAAAAAAGATAACTTTTGAGAAACAAATGAAAGGAAAGAGGAATTCAAACTGGAGAAAAGGAGAGAACAACATAAGGAACATTTAGCCAGTTCTTTAAATCAGAAGATTTCATAAACACAATGTAGTCCCATCATAGCTGATATATAAAAATTATTGGAGGTGATAATCATAATCCTAGGGGAATGATATGTGACATTTCAAAAAATATCCCAGATTTAAGTTGTTATGGTAAGTTCCCCAAAAAGGAGTATATAAGGTCTACCTCTTCAAATTTACTAAGACAATGACTGGAAAATTTATAATTTAAGTTCACATAGAAGAATTATAATGAATTATATCACTTCATGGAACAGTGTCTTTTTTTAAAAAAAAAACTTAGCTTAGGTATAAAGTTCCACTTATGTTCCTACATGTCCCTCTAAATATACTCATATCATCCATACTCCTATTAAATCTGTAATCAATTAGATTTTAAGCTGTTTTAGATGTTAAGAATAAAGGAAATAAAACAGCTATGTATATAAATGGCATAACAGCTTTTTGGCAGAAGTGAAAAGATCTTATGATTAAAGAATACACCTGCTATATTCAAGGGATAGTGTGGCCATGGTGAAAGACTAAGAAGAAGAGAAGGTAAAGATAAGATCAAAGAAATAACATACAGAGCCAGATGGTACAGAGTCTCATAGATTGTGATAAGAACTAAGGCTTCTACTTTTAGTGAGACAGTAAACCAATGGAGGGTTTGAAGGAGTAACTTGATTTGACTTACTAAGTTTTAGCAAGAACATCCTGGCAACTATGTTGAGAATGGACTAAAATTGGTAAACTCAAAGTATGAAACCAGTGTAAAAACTTAGGAAACATATGATAGAGCTTTGAACAAAATGACAGTAGGGGTGATGGGAAAAGTAATCCTGGATAGGTATTGCAGGCATGGCAGACAGTAGCTTGGCTTTGAACATGTGAAGTTTGAGATCACTATCAAGCATCCAGGTCAAGAGATATTTAAGCAGATATTTAAGATATACTCTTTCCTAGGTTTCCAGGGAAGGGGCAAAAACTTGATTGAAATGGGTACAAAAAAGAACTGGAGAAGAAAACTTTTAAAAGAGTTACATTCACTTTTAAAAGGGGTATTGCTAGAAATGGATAAAAGAGGTAAAGGAAGGAAAGAGAAGGAATATAGTGGGATCAATGTATAGTGCTTGTTGTTATTTTTTTCTTTCTCATATTGGCAACCTAACAACATGTTTGTGTGTGGTTAGGAATGACTGAGTTGGGAAAAACTGATTTAGTGGAAGAGATGGGGAACACTTTCTTCTGCAAATAAGTTTTAAGTAAAAATGGGAATACATTAATAATCATCAAATTAATTGTGGTAAACATATTCTACACATAAACACATCCTTGATGGAGATCAGGAGGAGGGGCACGAGAGCAACAGCTCCTTGCACTGTCATGGAAACAGAGTTCCAAGGTACATTATTTGAAAACAAGCTAAAGAACACAAGTAAAAGGAATTGATTTGTAATATGAATGTATGTACACTGTACACATACACACACAAACAGCATCTAATGCATGGAAACATTTAGAATTACTACTCTCATAATTACCCATGGGAGCAATGAAATAAACTGGAGTCAGTAGAAGGGAAATCAAATCCGTTAGACTTTCATTACCAATACTTCTACATAATTTTTCTATTAAATTTCCACAGTGAAGTATTCATGAAATTTTTATATATTAAAAGGAAAATAGTTTTGAAATATTCTGTTCTATAGAAATTCTAGGATACAATCAAGTATTAAGAGTGTTTATTTCTGGGACAAAAGTTTCAGGTAGGAGGTCAGAGACTTATTTTATTTGCTTAATCCACTTTTGTATTACCTGAAAATTTATCACAAGCATGAATTACTTGGGTAATAATCATTGTAAATATATGAGTTTTCAGTTGTTTGACGTGATACAGAATCTAGAAAAATTCTCACATAGATTATTAAAAAGGTGGTTGCTCTCTACAGAGGCAGCTAAGGAAATCAAACAAAAAGCAGAATTAAAGCTGAAACATTGTCTTCGTTTTAATTTAAGCAAGATGGAAAAAGAATCTTAACACAAAATTGAGAGAGGAAACGATAAGAAAAACATTTTCTTTTTCTTTCTTCTACTAAGTTCTTTCTTGCTAACAAAGAGGAAACACAGAAAAAGAAAGAAAAGGTTTATGATCTTTAATAATGAGCAACACTAAAGACATATAAACTGTCATGGGTAAGGGAATTTTAAGCAAAAATTAAGAAAGGACGAGAAACGTTTGAGTTAAAATAGGTTAAGTGAAAAAGAAAAAAAATACTAATTAATGTTCAATTTTTCAAGTCATTTTAGCAACGGCATCTGGTTTTGAAATAAAAGCATACTGGGCAATCCCACCATATAAAATAAAAATATGGAGCTGCCATCGCCAATTTGGAAGCACAGGTGCTACCACTGTCCTTGGGAATTCCATGATTGGAGGGAAACTCGAAAGGACAAACACTATTCCAAAGCACTCTCCAAAAGTGTGGGTTTAAAATTTACTTAATAGTTACTCATTTCACGTTAAATACAGATATTTGGTTTTTATGGTATTTTTTTCAGGAGAAGACTACGTCTAAACACAAAAAAAAAAGCCCAAAATTTTAAGGATAATATTGATAATATAATTAATATTAAACTTTTCAAGGCTAATTGCTTTTCCAACTATTAAAACAACATCAATCTTAGGGTTGATTTAATTTATATAAACTAAATTAATTATATAAATAATAGTATATTTCACAAAACATAAAAGAAATTCAATAAAGTTCTTTTTTAATTACCAGCTATAAATATTGCTGACAAATCAGTCAGTATACCTAAATAGCTAGATGAGCCTTCTTGGAGCCTCCTAAAATAACTGTAAAGTAAAATGACCATTTAAAAGAACCACAAGATAAAGAGAAAAATCCTTGGGAAATATTGATCCTGAAGATCTCATCAGCACACCTATTTGTGTAGATCTGCAGATAAAATACTGCACAAATAGTGCTTTAGGTCTTAGACTCAGACAAAAAAATTCTTGTAAAATAGACTAGTTTCATTCCCTAAACTCTTTCTGGCTTGGCTGCTACATTTCCTATATGTTTCATGGTACATATCAAAATTACAACTTATAAAAATAATACCAAAATGAGTCATGCATTTTTTTTTAATTTTTAAGAAACATATATAAAGGGGCATAATAAAGGAAGGTTGAAATTTGAAAACACTGAATTCTGTTTTTATAAATTCATACATATAAATTTACATTTCTACAACAGAAAAAAAGCATACTTTTTGATATGATATACTTTCAGCTGTGTGAACATCTTCCTGATTCCTCAGTACTTTTTGTGTGTCCAAATTCAGAACCTGAAGCTGTTGGATCAGCTCTGCTTGCTGTGCTGTATGTGCACTGTTCTGTTTGTAAAGATTTTGCAGCTCCTGCAACTCTTTCCTGTGCAAAGAAAGCAATAAAAAGAGAGAAGCATGAATAAAGATCATCTCAGTTAAATAATTGTGTTCATCTAAGATTATAGATTGGCTTCCAATTTTTTCATCTTCTATTTTTTACTACAGGCAAACATATTAATAAAAGAAATAACATATAAAGTAGTTAATATTTATCACATACACCTAGAAATTATTGATAAAGCTACTTTGACTTTTGAAGTCAAATACTTATCAATTTTCTTTTATAGCTTGATAGTAATAAAACCCGTAGATATACAGACATAGTTCCACCTTCTTATTGAAATTAAATTATACTTCAGTTCCAAAAATGGTTAAGTACTGACACCAACAATAGTTATCAGACAAGATTTCATTTTATGAATAACTATAAGAAAGTGAAAATCAAAATCAACAAAAAACTATGAACCAGAGACACTCTATGGGGGGTAGGGGCGGGAGGGGAGGGATTGGGGTCAAAATAAGGGGGATGCAATTGTATGGGGAATATAAAAATAAAATTTATAAAAAAAAAAAGATTTCATTTTACATAATACAGAAGTTTAAACACATTAAAAAGCTCATTAGGTAAATTAAGTTTTCAAAACAAAGTTTCTTACAGCACCACTGCCTTAAAGTATAACTAGTTTGTAGCTTCAAAGTCCTGGATTGGGATTCCTGTGATTCTGCTAATTCAGTTTGAGGAAAACGTTGAAGAAAAAAAGCCCAAAGGAGAGAAAGCAATGAGAGTGGAAACCAGTACTTCCAGTCCACCCAGGTAAGGAGGGGGGCAAATGAATAGCTAATTCTAATAATGATGGCATAAGTTCAAGAGTATTCATAACTCTGGGACAGAGGTTTTCTGATTCCCATGGTAGTAAATCCTGTGTGACATATAGCATATAAAGGAGGAAAAGACTTTGTCTATTCAATTTTAAGCCAAGTATTTATAAAACTATATTTCACAGATATACACTCCATAGTATATATTTTGCACTATATATAGATTTCTTTTAAAGATTTATTTTTCTTTATTTATGCATACAAAACTGGGGTGTAGGCCAGAGGTGCAGCGGCATGGGAGGATTCACCAGAGGCAGAGTGGGGAGCAGGAAAGGTGGATCCACTGAAATACACTGCTGAGAGGAAGTAAGGGGAGCAGTGGGCAAGACAGGAAAGGTCTGTTGTGCCATGTGGACCAGCAACCTGGCTGGGGATCAAACTCAGGCTGCAGTGGCCTTTGACAGCTTGATAGCTTGATAGTGCTGAAACTTTAACCACTGCACCACTGGGGAGACGACTTGGACTGTATTTTTAAATGGAACTTCCATTTTTTTTACTGCAAACTGGTAATTTATTTACATAATCTTAAAAGAAATAAAGAATAAAGAGATATACGGATAAATTGTTCAAGATAGATGAATATTATGATGGAGAAATGAGCTCTGCTTTTCAGAAGTTTATGTCAATATTCTCCAAACACAAGAACCTTCCCTGTGCCCATAGAGACACATATACATACACCATATTTGTTGCAGTCCTTTTGAGCTGCTATAACAAATTATCATAGACTGTGTAGAATACAGACAATAGAAACTGATTTGTCATAGTTCTGGAGGCTAGAAGTCAGAGATCATAATGTCAGCATGGTCAAGTAAGGGTTCTTCTCTGAGTTGTAGATTTCTGGTTGTCTTCAGGTGGTGGAAAAATTAGGGAGGTCTGTGAGTTCTCTTCTGTAAGAACATTAATGTCATAATAATGCCTGTCAAGTGCTGCAACTTTTCAGAATAACAAAGGCAAAAATTATCCAAGGAGATAGGCAACAGATGGATGACAAAAGTCTACGAGAGTATAGTTAAGATACTTCAGCCAGAAGATCTAAGTAAATGTAGCATTAAAAAGGAGACATGATCAAGACTATCATTTTCAAAAACAATTTATAGCAGTCAAATAATTTCTCTTCCAATACTAGAAGGCATTTGTTATTTCCTTAAGAGAAGGCCAGAATCAGGAGTTGGATTTCATTCAAGGGTCATGTAGAACAAAATATTGTAGCTATAATCAGAAAAACAACATGGTGGAGATATGCTCAGACTATGAATATTTTGAGGATTAAAAATCAACCTAAGGTAAGAACATATTCTTGTCTCTAATCTCATGCTGTCTTCTGGGCATACTTTCATTAAGTGGAATGGAAGCATAACCTTATACTTGGTGGTTTTCTCTCTGTCTCCCCATACCATTCTCTAAATGTTGTAAATAATTGTGGCACCTGATCAGCACCAAAGTAAGCAACAAAAACCAAGCTTACAAAACACATCTGGACCACTGGAAAACAATAAATTTGTCAATACCTCTCCTCATATAAAAGTGGGTATTTAGGGCCTCCCCTGGTGGCGCAGCGGTTGAGCGCTGGGTTGCTAGGCTGCCCACAGCCTCTGAAGCGCCAGTTTGATCCCCGGTGAGGGTCCCACAAAAAAAAAAAAAAAAAAAAAAGTGGGTATTTAAAAATCAAGATTTATTAAAAGGGAAGTACTTAGAATTTAAAAAAAGGAGAATTTATTGTGCATGCTCAGAGGAAAATCATACCTCTGAGTAACAATTACTAAGGAAATTAGAAGGTCTAAAAAAGTATAGAAATGAAGTTACTGTACCTTTATAAATCATCAATGAAAAGTCAAGATGTAAAAATGGTCATACTAAAATCTCATGAAGGTAAAGCATTTTTATTTACTGCTGTAAATACAGCACCTAACACAGTTCATGTCCTTTATTAAATAGTAGTTGGGTTGGCATTACCAATATGGCAAAATAGATTGTTCCTTGCTTCTCTCTCCCTCATAGAGGGAATAATTAACAACAAATAAGGAAGAGACAATATTAAAGTACAGGTTGAGACTGAAACATCCCCTACACCTCAGAGAACAACACAGACCTGCATTAAAAGGAATTCTGGGGAAAAGAAACATCTAAGATATGAAGGGCATATTGGGAGGAAAGTGGGTGGAGAGGGATCTACAAAGATAGCAGTATTTTGGGGGAAGGAACAGAGAGGACAGGGCTGACAAACCAATCAAAGTTTCTGAGGAAGGGAGAGTAGAGACCATGAGGAGGTCCATGCCTTTGGCCCAGATGGAGCCTAAATTGCAGGAGCAGAGATGTTCTTATGGGCTGGGACCCTAGCAAAGAGAACAACAGAAAAAATTCTCTACAGTATACTTCCTCTCACATATGCTTCAAGATCTGTACTGGTGCTGTGAAGTACACCAACAACTAATAGGCAGATGAGTCTCAAGATATGGGCTCTCAAAGAGGAAGGATAAAAGAAGGGCATTCCTCCAGGACAACTATAAAAGCATCAGGCTCCTTCTAAACCTCTCCACCTTTCTTTCTTTCTTTTTTTTTTTTAAAGATTTATTTATTTATACAAGCACTGAGTACAGTCACAAGCTCCGAAGAGTGAGAGAATTCAACAGAGCCAGAGCGGGGAACAGAACAGATAGACTGACAAAATACACTGCAAAAACACAACAGAGCAAAAACAGACAATTATAAATCAGAGACATCCTGCAGGGGAGGAGGAGGGAGAGGGATCAGAGGGAGGGAGGGAAGAGACATGGGAATGCGGTGATGGTGCAAGGGTGCACTGGTGAAAGGTGCACTGGTGCACTGGTGTAGTCTATGGGGACTACACCCGAGGGGGTGGAGGGAAGCAAATATTGTTTAAAAAAATAATAAATAAAATTTAAAAAATAAATAATAAATTAAATCATCAACAACAACAAAAAGAAATAGAGATAGTAAAAAAAATTTTATTGATAAAGTTTTCTCTATTATTTGAAAGGTTATGCTATAGAACAGAGGTAAGTTTGTCTCTGAGAGTCTCTATATAAGAAACCAAAATAAATATGAATATGGTAAAAAGACAAATTTCAACTCAACATATGAAATGATGTTCACAATTAAAGCGACATAAAATGAATAAGTACATTATTTGGAAAATGTTGAAACATATAAACTAAGAAACATATAAATGTATCATGCAAATACTAACAGCCAGATTATCTTAATGAAAAGTTAGTCTAAAAATTTCTTCTAATATTCAGAAACATTTACACTATGAGTGAATAACCTATCAGCTATAAAGTTTATACGTATCTTCATTGCTATGATATAAATTTTTTTTGAATTACCACAAGAAATTTTTGTTTGGTTAAAGGACAAATATAAATATAAAATATAAATGTTTTATATAAATTTTATATAAATTTTTATATAAATATAAATGTTTCATATATAAATGCCAATGTGAATATTATATAATACATATGTCTGTTACCCTAGAAACATTCTGCCTGACCTCTGAAATATATACATGTGAGGATAAGTAAAACTAGAGATTAATTGCACTTATACAGGTATATGATACACTTTCATTACATGATTTATTTTAATTGAAATAATAAAATATATAAAAACAAATGTAGATATGTATGTATATATGTATATATAATGTACTTAAGAGTCATTCTCTCACAATTTCTGATAAAGATTTATAAAATAAATTAATGGGTAATTTAAAATATTCCATAACAAAACACACAAGTGCATCATGTTACTTTTTCAAGTAATCTCACTTTATGGGTAGTAGTATAAAACTAATGATTTTGATATAAAAGAAATTTTTCACATTTTAAAACATACAAAAATAAAAAGTCAAATTTGTGTTTCTCAGTGGCTGTTCATGAAATGAATATTAATACATTGTTAGATATTTTACAAGGAAACAATGAATGATTGCACTGTTTTTGTTAAAAATCAAAAACAAGACTGCTGCCTTTCAACAGGTTCTACCCAGTCTTATGACATCCATGATTCTCTTGGGTAATTATTTCCAAACTGGTGCATATAATTCCAGACATTGTCAATATACATCAATTTACCGAGAAAAGACATATAGTTGTCACTTTGGGATGTTTATAAACATAAATGCTGAAGCTCTTATAATTTTTCTGCCATTTCTATAAAGTTGAATCAAAAACTGAATATACTTACCTAACCAGGGTAATATCCATATCCTTCTGGATAAGTTCAGTCTGTTTATTATTCAACTGTAATGACAGAGCATTATATTTACTCTGTGATACTTCAATTTCTTTTCTTGCTTCACTTAAGTTGTCTTCAAAGGCCTAAAATTAAAGTACTAATCATCATCATCAAATATCAAATAACTTAATAATGAAGATTGTTATATTTAACTAGTCTACAAAATGACAGTGAAAAAATTAGTAAAATTTTAAAATTCATTTTTTAATTTTCACTTAAAACATTTTAGTACAAACAGTAACTCTTGTACCACTCATAGATTAGATTTTTCAGTAGCAAAAAAAAAAAAACACACAGTTTTAGTGTTAATAAGAATTTTAAGCAAATATATTTGAACATCTATGTATAAATTTAACTATTAAAGTTATAATAAATAAATTAACATATAATAAAAGCTGTTAACTACATCAACAAAAAATAAACTCAATTACCTAAATACAAGTCAAGACAATGGCAGATATTTCACTATTTCCTCTATTTTATTTTTTTTAATTAATTTATTTATTTGCTTGCTTGTTTATACATGCACTGGGTACAGTCAGAAGCAAGGGAGGGTGAGAGAATTCACCAGAGCCAGAGAGAGGAGCAGAGCAGGCAGAAGGACCGAAGTACACTGCTGAGGGGAGCAGCAGGCGGCAGGAGAGGTCTGCGCGCCCTGTGGGACCCTCCTCTGGTGGCCGGAGAGCAGCGGGGATCAAACCGGCGCCGCAGAGGCCGCGGGCAGCTTCGCAACCCAGCGTTCAACCGCTGCGCCACAGAGGAGGCCCTATTTCCTCTATTTTAAATACAGACACATAAGTACATTCACAGAAGATGGTACTACAAAGATATCAAAATAATTTTAAAATATTTGAAATGCAGGTTATACTGAGTTCTCTATATCATGGTGAAATTTTGCTCAAAGTTCTACAAAGTTAACATTTTCCTGCTGATCATTTCTCTAAGTCTTTTTTATTTTGAAGCAATTTTAAAATGTTACATTTTCAAAATATACATAAAATTAATGTTATTTTCTTAAAGTATTAAGTATTTTATCTAAAAATAGATTATCCCACATAAAGACGAAATATTCATTACTTCCAAAAGTAATTACCAGGTTTTATTTAGGTCAAGCACTAGAAATCTATTCTACTTACCCTATCACACCAAATATTTTCACTCTGTGTAGTAGCTAGAATGATCTCTTAAAGAAAAATAATGGCATTAAGTGAAGACAGAACTATAAGTACTTCTTAAATTGCAATGTATTAAATAAGAGCAATCACAGATACATAGGTAGACAGGTAGGTGGACAGATGTAATAAAAGGAGAAAAGGAGTGAAGGAAAAGAGAGAGAGAGAGAAAGTGAGAGAATAACAAATGTTGGCTGGGATATAGATAAGTTAGAACCTGAATTGATATAAGCTCTATGGGAAACAACATGAGGGTTACTCAAAAATTAAAGATAGAATATATAATATAGCAACCCCACTCTAGATATGTATTCAATAGAATGGAAAGCAAAACCTTGAAGCAGTATTTCCACACCTGGTTCATAGCAGCACTGTTCACAATAGCCAATAAATGGAAACAACCCAAATTATTAGATGAATGGATAAAATATGCTGTATACCTATTACATGACACAAGTCTTTTTTGACTCTTCTCAAATGTTACATGGATGTATGTGCCTCATAAGCATTATTTTAAAAGAGATGAACCAGTCACAAAAAATTACCATGTGAACCCACTTAACTATCTAAAGTAGTCAAGTTCATAAATACAGAAAATAGAAATGTGATTGCCAAAGGCTTAAAGGAGGGAGAAATATGACATTGTTACTAATGAATACAGATTTACAATTCTGCAAACAGAAAAAGTTTTGGAGATCGTTTTCACAGGAATGTATCATACTTAACACTACTGAAGTGCATGCTTATAAATGGTTAAGCGGGCAATTCTTATTTTACGTGCTTTTTATTCACAATTTTTTTTTCAGATTTATTTATTTATACAAGAACCGGAGTACAGGCCAACCGATGTGCGGGAGGGTGAGAGGATTCACCAGAGACAGAGCAGGGAACAGAACAGGCAGACTGACAAAATACACTGTTGAGGGGAGCAGCGGGAGAGTCAGGAGAGGTCTGCCGTGCCATGGGGTTATCTCCCCCGTGGCCAGGATGGAACCCGCAATGCAGAGGCTGCAGACAGATTCACAGTACTGCGCTCAACTGCCTGCGCCACCAGGGGAGGCCCTATTAACAATTTTTTAAAAGAAAATTCTTACATGTGCAAGAAAAAGAGGGCGGATCAACATGGCGGCGAGGAAATGCTGCGAGTAAAATCTCCCATTAAAAAAAAGTTAATAGGGAGGAAAAGCAGCAGGTCCCAGTGAGAACTGGGACACGGAAGATAAATGGACAACTCCAGCAAACTACCCGAAGAAGAAAGTTGCCGTAAAAGAGGACTAGAAGGGAGGAAAGCTCAGAACCCTGCTACCCTCCCCCACCCACAAAGACGGCACTCTCTGACCAACAGGAAGGAGGAAAAAACAAAAAAACTAAAACAACCAATAAGAACAAACTATGCATCAAGCAGGACTGAGAGTGGAAAGGAACTATTTCAGCCACCACACCCCGTGAACTGGAGCTGTGGAGAACCCTGCAGGATTCGCTGCGGAGGTGAGCGAACTGCTCCAGGCGCCATTAGAGAAAAACAAAGACTCCTGGGGACCTACACATAGCCCCAGGACAGCCGGTAAGCTCGTGTGGAAAAGCGGCCGCTTGAAAAGGATACACGGATCGTGGCTGCTCAGGTCCCCGCGGCTGCCCAGGTCACTGCGCCTGCGAGGCCCCTTCTGGCCTGCAGTGAGAGCCCAGAGGGGGAGAGGGAACCCACCGCTGGGGCAGACCAGGCACACAGGACATGTGTCCCGCATCGCCATTTTAGAACAGGGACATGTCTTCAATAAAGACTGCCTGAAACCAGCAGAAGGCTCCCTGAGGAGCCAGAGGTGAGCTAGGAAGTTCGCCCACGCCAGGCCCCTTCTGGCCTGCAGTCAGAGCCCAGAGGGGGAGCGGAAACCCACCGCTGGGGCAGACCAGGCATGCAGGGGAGCGTGTCCCCGCATCAGCATTTTAGAACAGGGACCTTTCTTCAGTAAAGACTGCTTGAAACCGACAGATGGCTCCCGGAGGAGCCAGAGGGGAGTGGAGAAGTTCACCCAAGATGCCGGCCAGTCGCAGCAACACAGTGTCCCAGCAAATATGGCAAATTAGAAAACAGACAGTAGGGAGTAGAAGAACTACATGCAACCTAGCAATTCCTCAGGAAAAAAGCACACCACAAAAAGAAAACCACCCCCAGACTACAACGATAGTAACTTGGAAGAACTTCTGAGCCTTCCATAAAGAGAATTTAAAATTGCCATGATTGGGTCTCCCCAGTGGCACAGCAGTTGAGCGCTGGGTTGCGAAGCTGCCCGCAGCCCATGCAGCGACAGTTCGATCCCCGGCTGCTCCCCGGCCATCGGAGGAGGGTCCCACATGGCGCGCAGACCTCTCCTGCCGCCCGCTGCTCCCCTCAGCAGTGTACTTCAGTCCTTCTGCCTGCTCTGCTCCCCACTCTGACTCTGGTGAATTCTCTCATCCTCCCGTGCTTCTGACTGTACCCAGTGCTCATATAAATAATAAAATAAATAAATACATAAATTTAAAAAAATAAAAAAATAAAATTGCCATGATTGAAAAACTGACAGAAGTCATAAAGGAAAACAATGATAAGGGAAAAATAATCAACGGTCAGAAGAATGAAATTGAGTCCCTAAGGAGGGAAGTAAAAGAAATGCAGGAGATCAGGGCCTCCCCAGTGGCGCAGCGGTAGAGCGCTGGGTTGCGAAGCTGCCCGCGGCCTCTGCGGCGCCGGTTCAATCCCCGGCTGCTCCCCGGCCACCAGTGGAGGGTCCCACATGGCGCGCAGACCTCTCCTGCCGCCCGCTGCTTCCCTCAGCAGTGTACTTCGGTCCCTCTGCCTGCTCTGCTCCCCGCTCTGGCTCTGGTGAATTCTCTCACCCTCCCGCGCTTCTGACTGTACCCAGTGCATGTATAAACAGAACAAACAAACAAGCAAACAAATAAATAAGGGAAAACATGCCTCTATTAAAAAAAAAAAAAATAGAAATGCAGGAGATCAAAGAATTAATGGAGGAACTAAAGAACTCTGGGAAAAGCAATGAAAGCAGAATAGATGAAATGGAAGAACGAATAAGTACTCTTGAAGACACAGAAATAAAAAGAACCAAAACAGAAAAGGAATGAGAAGTATGAAAGAAAAAGACAGAAGAAAGACTTTGGGAACTACCTGACTTCATGAAGAAAGGAAATATAAGAGTTATAGGAATCCCAGAAGGAGAGGAGACAGATGTAGGAACAGAGAAAATATTCAAGGAGATAATTGAAGAGAACTTCCCAAACGCGAAGAAGGAGCTGTAAATTGATATACAGGAAGCAAGAAGAACACCAAATTTCCATGACGAAAGGAAAAATACAGCAAGACACATAATAGTAAAGCTCCCAAGAATCCAGGACAAGGAAAAAATAATGAAGCTGACAAGAGGGAAGAAACAGATAACATTCAAAGGAAAACCAATCAGACTGACATCAGACTTCTCTGAAGAAACACTACGGGCAAGGAGAGAGTGGAGGGACATAGTCAACAGACTCCAAGAAAACAGATGCCAACCAAGAATACTCTATCCCGTAAAGCTCTCCTTGCTCTATGAAGAAAGAATAAGGACCTTCCCAGACAAACAGAAACTCTGGAATTTCATTACGACTAAACCCCCACTCCAAAAAATACTACAAGGAGTCCTAAAGCCAGAAACTCAGAGGGACAAATAACGACAAAAGAAGACCAAAAAAAAAAAGTTATTAAAAGAATAAATAAATAAAATCAAAGGAAAGACAAACACAATGGCAAAAACAGATGCTAACATATCAATATTAACTCTAAATGTCAATGGACTAAACTCTTCAATAAAAAGACAAAGAGTCGCAGGCTGGATTAAGACACAAAACCCAACCTTTTGCTGTCTCCAGGAAACCCA